TTAATGAAGACCACTACGACGACAGCAGTTGTTAACGATCAGGTGCAATTCCAGGTCTCGCCGTATATGCTGATGTGTATCAGTAATAAGAATAGGCACAATAGCCTTATCCCATGAGAACTGGATCAAAAGATTAAGAACGTGGAGGGCACTACCAACGGCGGCTGGAAGATAGCCAACAGTGACCTCTTACAATGACCAGTGGTGAAAACAATGGGCCTAGGAGCAACGTACACCTTTAAGAAGCATATTCCTAATCCACCCTTCCGCTACTATTATGCTAACACTATGGGGCTTGATCCAAATATCAATCACTACCTCCCACACGACACTGACGAAAGATCATATTTGGAGCCATTCACAAACTTTGCACCCCCAGCTCAAGATGACGTCTTCCAAGCCCTAACGATGCCAGATGTAGGTGCCCTCGGAGAATCGTCCAATAAGACCAATGTCTACGGCAAATGCCTCATAGAACTGTCGTTGGACGTTACGTTCATGACTAAGCCTGTCGGTCACGGACACCTGGAGAAGGCTATACCTCTCATTAAAGCAGCTCTGTCTTCAATTAACCAATATTCATACTCGCGTTAATGCATATTGATGTTGTCACATAAAAATTTTGTATTTATGGTATAAGGTTGGAGGAGGGGAAAAAGTCCTAGAAGTAAACCACCTCTCTAAACCTCATTCGCCCGGTACTCACCTCTCTGAACGTTTAGGTTTTCGCCTCCTCCGCCTCCGGGGGGGGGGCTGGGTTGCGTGCGTCACCGTCAGCGCTGGTGCGTGGGTGTGCTCTACGCTGATTGGTTCCGACGGCCAGCCGTCGCGCAGGCGAATCCGGATTTGCGGCCACAATTGTTCCACGACCCTTCATATAGCGAATAAGAGCGGTCACGTTTCTGACTAATTGCTTAGTCAGTTTAACATCAGAAACTCGATATGGAGGAACGCCGCATTCCTCGATAATGCGTTCCATTTTCCGGAATGAGTTATTGGCACTGCTTTGGTAGATCACATGCATGTGATCATCGTGTTCTGTATATAGCACTTCCGATATAGCATCTGGTGTTCTGGTATAGTGCCTCAAGATGAAAGTATAATAACTTCTGGTAAAACCGGCAAGCGTAGTCTGAGACATGTCGTACGTCCAAAAGCTAAACATCTGCTCCACAAAAAACGGCCGTATTTATACCCTAGTAAAACAAAGCATCATTACTTAGCTGTTCTCTCATTGGTTCTTTAAAAGTACGGTGCATTCTTATTGGTTAACGAGGGGACCCCCAATGGCCAAATATGGCCAGTAGTCATTAATTATGCGACACATTCGCATGACTGACGCATCGGGACTGAGTCACACCGCACAAACCGAGCACGACTACATCGCTGAGGCGGTCTTTGTCCATGGCTGCCTCCGAGTTAACGAGGAGAATTTCTACATTAACCAGCCGATTTCTCGATTACGTATCGAGATTCTGCCACCGGTGCAGTTGCTTACATTTTCACAGGAAGAAAATGAAGAGGACCTACGCTTATATGAACCTGCCAGTTTTGATCCATATGGAGGAGAGCCACGACACTCTACACCTATCCATTCTTTTCCGGAAGAAAAGATAGATATCCATGTGGAGGATATACCTGTCGATATGAACGATGCTATAAGAGCAAATATAATGCAGATCGTGCGATACATTGAAAAGAACAACTATAGTACATCACAAGACCGCGTATGGGAGGAGTTCGGAATAGCTTTGGGAGTTGGATCTGGCCTTGGTGCAAAAGTTGGACTTCTAGTTAGTGGAATGTCTTCCGGCCTATCGCAAAGTCAAGTAGTTAGTGCCATAATGGACGCTATTTCGGCATTACGGACAGTCAATGGTGGAGCAAACTATCAGCCTTTGGAGGAAATAGAGCTGGAGGAACTGGTTAACCGCGTACAGGAGGAAGCACCAACAACTGTACTTAATGAAGAGGAGTCACCTCAACCCTCTACATCTGGGCAAGTGGAAGAAGAACCAGTGGAACAGACAGTACGAAAAAGAGCTAAAGTGGGAGATGATATTCCAATGGAGAACATACAAGCATCTACCTCTGAATATGTTCATCCGTCAAAAATACCGAAACATCTACCAGCAGCAGTGAAAACTCGTTTACGTAGGTTGGAATACGAGGTGACCATGACCAGACGTAACTACGAGACTATGAAAAAGCACATTTTCACAGAATATGAGCAGAAATTCAACATTCATCGCAATAGCATGAACAACGATCCCGTCAAATATACGGAGGATCTTCTACACAGGAGGCATTGGACGCCTGAGGAAATAGAGGCATTTGATAAATTCGATTACAATTGGCCTATCAGACAACGGGATTGGTGGAAGGTGAAAGGCGATCTGGAACTTATGGTTAAACTGTACAAGAAATACGAACATTCATTAGATATGCTGTATCAATTAGGACAAATACATAAGATTGAATACTTATTAGCCATTGTATTTTTGTTTTTAATGGGAGGAAGGAGATCACGTAACCAGTTAATGGTTAAACGAAAGAAGTCCTAATATTAACCCACCTCTCTAAACCTAATACGCGCGCGGTACTCACATCTCTAAACGTTTGGGTTTTCGCCTCCTCCGCCTCCGGGGGGACTGGGGTGCGTGCGTCACCGTCAGTGCTGGTGCGTGGGTGTGCTCTACGCTGATTGGTTCCGACGCCCGGCCGTCGCGCAGGCAAATCCGGATTTGCGAACCAATCAACGTAGAGCACACGCACGCACCACGGTGACGCACGCACCCCACCTCCCCGGATGCGGATGAGATGAAAACCTAAACGTCTTTAGCAGGCAGCCATTGCAATGGTTGCATATTCGGTCGAAAGCATTCTTTGAGGGCCGTTATTTGACAGTTCCGGTGTATTTCCTTGATCTACGATTCCGAACAAAACTGCCTTAAATGTAGTGCATGTTTGCAAAGTGTTGGAGAAAATTTCATAAGCACAGGGTGGTGCTACCGAAATGAGTAAAGTGGACAGAGTCCAAAGTGTTTTCTTTGTCAAGTGTGCGGGTTACATAGATATCGTTCCTTTTCACAACTTTCCATTTTCAGCGTCGCTCTCGCCACACCCTGCAGCATTCCTCTGTCTTTGCTTCAAAATCACCAACAAGCCAGAAGCAAATATCCTTTTTAGTATCTAACAATCAGCGAGACTACTATAAGTAACATTGTCCCACAATTTAGGCTACCCTCCATGAAAGATGTGGTGCAGACATATATTTGAAGAAGACCTATTTAGGCAATTTCACGTGAGATTGATTTATCATGATCATAAGAAAATAGAACCAATCATACTCGATTACTTACGCCCATGGTTATAATTTGGAGTGAACATTGCCACATTCGATGAAGTAGAGATACATACGAGACACACATTTTGCTTAGC